TCGTAAATTAACCATGTCCTGAAAACCTTGCCTCTTAACGGAGTTTTAAGTTTCAGCATGTGAGTTTAAAGGAATGTATCAGACCACAGCAAGATCATAACTTTGTATTGGGATGACTTCGCTCAGCTTCCTGGCCTTTCCTGATTTAATGGTATAAATTAAGCAATAGTGTTTTCTTGTTGGTGTACACGCCCATCATACATCTAGGAGTGTATCTTATTAACTATTATCGCAGCTGTCCCACTAGCCCTTCCCCTTACCTCTCTCCTACTCTGACCTTGCAGCCTGTGCTGACCCGCTGCGACAATTGTGCCCACCTTGTTTCTACCTGGCTTCCAGTCTTGTCCCCTCATCCCATCACACAGGCCCAGCTCCAGGGTGGCATCCCGGGTGCTCTGCCTCCATCTCTGGCCTCCAGCCACTGATCTCGGCTCTTCTCCTTGTTGCCCTCTTTTCCAGTGCCTTCTTCTTCTTCACCTGGGTACAGGATGTGTCCTCCGGGCCTTCATACGGAATGTGAGCAGGTGGGGGTTCTAGCTTCCTGTGTGACTCCAGTCCATCCTAGCAGGCCTACATTTAGTAGCCAGAAGGGACCGCTGAGGTGGAAGAGAAGCCAACTGAGCATGGCTGTCATTGAACCTGCAGACGTGGCTGTTCGAGGAAAGGGGTCCAGGAAAGGTGGGGAGGCTTATGTGAGCATCATGAGAGTTAGCAGCTCTCAGTGGAGTGTTACAAGTAAGAGCCCTGTCAGAAGAGGCTGAGGAGAAAATTGAGACATGGGATATTGCAGTTTTACTGAGTCAGGGAGCAAAGAAAGGAGAAAGACATGAGAGGCCAAGGGGGAGCTTTTTCATGACAGGAAACATTGCATGCATTTGCATGTTGATGGGAGTGATGAGTTTGAGAAGAATTTGCTGGGGGTGACAAGTGCTGCTTTCAGAATCACACCTCTCTTCAACCAGAAGAGACCAAAGGACAAACAGTGGCTGGACTTTGAGGACCTATAAACATGTTCATTGTAACATAAGCGAGGGCAGAACCTGAGGGTGCAGAGACCAGCAAGAGGTGGGCTTTGTGGTGAGCGGCCAGGGGGGTGTGACTGGCCTGGCTCCCTCTGTGAGGTCTGAGCTGGGGAAGAACCAGGCCTTCCTGCCTCCTCATTCCTTACAGTGTCCTCTCTTCCTAAGGATCATGAAGTTTTTTCCTAAAAAGTACACAAAATGTGATTCATTTTGAAGCCCTTGCTGAGTGAAAGAACACTTGCGTCTTTGCTTGAACATAATAAACATACCTCTTTGCTAATAAACAGACCTTTTTAAATTAAGTGTGTTAGTATTTTCCAGGAGCATAGCAAAATACTGAGATAAACAGGTCAGAAGGACTGGTTTACCTGAGCTCAAGGTTCAGGGTTTCAGTCCATGGTCCCTTTGGACTGTGATGAGGCAGAACATCATGGTGGGGAACATGTGTGGAACAAAGATGCTCCCCTCAGGGAGGCTGGGAGCAGGAGAGTGGGAAAGAGAAGCCAGGGTTCAGGTTTCCCTTCAAGAGCATGCCCCAGTGACCTCACTTCCTCCCACTGGGCCCCACCTCATCCAGGTTCTGTCGTCTTTCTTGGTGACTAGAACTTTAGCATATGGGTCTTTGGCAGACACATAAGATCCAATCCTTCATATTAGGTCTACCATCAAACCTGGGTTGCAAGTTTATGGATGAAAGGTATGTTCATCACAGTGGCATAGCTCCACTGGGCATCAAGCACTGCCCCATGGCACTGGGTCAGAGAGCCTCTGAAGGCAGAGTGGTCACAGATGGGAGACAAGAAAGAGACACAAGGAGCTATATATTGGATGGGAAGTGTCTCGGAAAAGAGAGAAGTAGAGAACGGAGTGTGAGATGCAGGAGGCTGCAAAGTTAAGTTGGGAGGCCAGGGAAAGGCTCATTGAGAAGGCACAGGTTGGATAAAGGTTGAAGGCACAGGCAGTTACCTGAGGGAATGCAGAGAATAGTGGTATCGAGGGGAACCCGAAGAAGTCAAAGGGACACAATGCTTGCTCTTACAGAGTTAAATGAGTAACATGACAGAAGCGGAGATCAAATGTGGGCTTGGCTGAGCTGCCAGAATAAGAGGGAACGGGACATGGGCCACTGCTAGAAAATAGATGCCTTCAGAGAAATAGGTGCGGAGGTGAGCACAAGAAGACACGGGGAGTGACCTGGAGGACATACCTCAGCAGACAGGATTCCCAATTTGTTGTATGTTACAGGTCGGTGCCCAAAAAAAAACGACGAGAAGACCTGATGAAAGTAGCTTCAGAGGTCTGAGATTAGTCTCTCTCCAAGTGAGCCCAGAGCCTCAGCAAAATCTCCCATTTATTGAGGGGTAAAGGCAGGCTAAGGAATGTGCATAATTATTTAAGTGAATACAAACTACTATCTCTATTGACTTCCACCATTTGCCTAACACTAGGCTCACACAAATGCTAGCTGATAACACCCCAAGCAAGGGATCAAAGGACAGGGGCCTGCAGGAGAAGCTGTTATCTGTTGCCTTGGGTCCCAGCTTTCCGGGAATTTGCAAACAGAGGGCAACTCTCCTTGGGCTCTGTCTGTTGTTCCCTGCTCTCTTGGGACATCAGGCGTTTGTCTCAAATCTATATTTCTACACCAATTCCATACTGAAGGCGTGGAACACTTTGGGAGGAAAGCTGCTTGCATGGAGAGAAGGGGTGCAGAAGCTGTCAGCATTCGGGTCCATGCAACTCTCTTACTTCCCTGAACCATACACTTCTGCTTTTTATGTTCATTGTACCCAAGGCTGTTTTCTGTTTGTCATGCTTTTGCTTTCCATAAATTGATCACAGTAGAGACATCCAGGATAGGTACCTGCTGCACCTTTCGTAGCTGGTTAGCTAAAATTCAAGTCAAAATGTACTAGGAAGCACTGGATGAGGTCACTGGAGTGCAAACCCTGCCTTATGCCTAGGCTGGGTTACTCTAACAGGTTCAAGCGGGGCCTAAACAAGCCTGGAGACCTGTGAGGACCCCTTCTAGGATCTCTCAGTCTTCCCTGGTGAAATCGTTCCCTGACGTGGAAAGGAAGTCAGTGAGAGCCCCTTGGTGCCATTCACTGTGATGCGTTGAACGAAACGTCCGGTCGCAGCTCCGACGTCCGTTTCCGGTCGCAGTTCCATCAGTTTCTGATACAAGGAGACAGCAACACATTAACGAGAACCACGTGTTTGTCATTGGCCAATCCCGTCAGTCCTCAGGACACACAGCAGGTTGGTGTAGAAACTCAGGACACAGCACCTCGGAGTGGGGGGCAGAGATTCTTCCTGTCAGGGGAGAACTTAGCAAGTTCCTCATGGCAAAGCAGGGTCAGCAGCCCTGGCAGCCTTGACACGGAGGTGGGACAGTGCCCTCCTCGAGTTCCCACATCTGTGGACACGGGCGGCAGCAGCAACGGCAGCAGCAACAGCAGCAGAGATGCACGGACGCCTGGCCCGCTGCAGCTGAGTTGACTCCGTCCATAGGACGAGACAGCACAAGCCGCGAGGAGGCCTCAAGCTCTGCAAGGAGACAGGGCCGGAGTAGATGGAGTCTGGACCCCAGCTTCTGCACTCAAACCCTGCAGCTGCTGTTTGCTAGCTTTTTTAAATCTTGGGTGTCTCACTTACTTTTCTCTCATTGCTGGGATGAAATACCTGAAACCCTAAAGTAAGGAAGGAAAGGTTTATTTAGCTCACAGTTTGTGGAGGTTTCAGTCTTTACTCCGCTGACTCCAAGGCAGAGAGCCACATGGCAGACGGAAATCAGCAAGAGCAAAAGGCAGGAGCAGCGTGGCTAGCAAGCCCCTCTCCATTACGTGGCATCCAGGCTACCCGTGTCCCATGCCGGGTGTAGCACTCACACCCATGATCCCAGCATTGGATCATGAATTAATCAAAAACTACGTTTTTCTTTGCTTCCAAATGCCACAGAGTCCTCCTTCCTTATATAAAATTATGCGAAGACTATTGCGCCGACAATCTGAGGCTCTGGGGGGCAGCACATCAGGACAGAAAACGCAACACCGGGCAAACTCCTAAGGTCTATGCATCAGCAGTGATATGTGGCTCGGGAGAATGTTTGGAAGATTAAACGGGGTTAGAGAAAAGTGATAGGCTCTCCATCAACTACACAACGTTTCACACCCGTGCAACCCAACACTGCTGTTGTTCAGATTAACTGCAGGAACCCAAAGCGCAGTACAGACGAGAAGGAAGCTAAAGAAGTTGCGCGGCCACTGCTGTATCCATTATATGGTTACTGCACACGGTACGGTGGACGCTGTCCTGGGTGATTTAGAACTCAGGATGATCACCTAAGAACATCTGAGAATTACCATTTACTAGGAGAGACAGTGTGGGCATATTTAGGTCAGATTTTCATACACACACACACACACACACACACACACATATATTTTTTCTTGTTTTCCTTTTTTTCTTTTCTTTTTGAGACAGGGTCTCGTTATGCAGCTCTCTGGCTGGTCTCGAACTAGCAACAATCCTCCTGCCCCAGCCTCCAGAGGGCTGCGATTACAGGCATGCGCCACCACGCCAGGTTTGTATATTTTCTTTTCAAAACAATGTTACCTTCCCCCCCCCTTTTTTTTTTTCTTTTAAATGCCATAGAAAGGGAGTCCTCCTTCCTTAGATCACTGTTACTTAAAATGATGAAGAGTATCACGCCTAGCACCAGATGGCTTGCCATTCAAATAAAATAACCGCCGGACGTCCCTAATTAATTGGGACAGGAGGGCAGGGACCCGGCACCAAACCACAGGTCTCCAGCTCTCGCGGGAACCTGGAGTCCCGGCTCGCGGACCACGTGACCCCAGGAGCAGGCGGGCTGGCGGTCAGCGTGCCCCGCCCCTCGGCGCAGAGCAGGCCACGTCGGCGGCGCTCGGTGGTCTTGGGGGGCGTGACCAATGGCCGTGCGCGCTGCGTGCCCCGCCTCCGCCTTTCGGGGCCCGGATGAAGAGTAACGCCATTAAGACCGGAGCTGCCGGGGGCACTCGCGGACGCAGAGTGGGGCTGGGCTCGCGAGCTGCCGCGCCATGAGGCTCCTCCCTCGCTTGCTTCTGCTTCTCTTGCTGGTGTTCCCAGCCACCGTCCTGCTCCGCGGAGGCCCGGGAGGTGAGGTGGCGGGGAGGGCCGCGGGTGGCTGGCACGGGGACGCCTGCCGTCGCAAACTGGAAGTCGAGGGCGGCTCTGGCCCCGGGCAGCGTCCGCCTCCCCGGCCGCGCTCAGCGCTTCCCGGCCCCGCCGCGGCCTCTGCTCCTCCC